TACTGCTCCCCCTCCCCCATTCTAATTGCATTCTCTGGCCGAAAAATACTGTTTAATGCATCGGTGATCGAGCCAGAGCGAACATTCCGCTAATCAACATTAACGCTGAAACGGGAAAAGGGCATTTTTCTGTTTTATTAGCCCAATCCCTTGTCTGTGATGGACTCGGATCGGAGGAGCTACGTCAGTTTCCATAGGCGTAACAGCATTTTTTTTCCTGAGAAAACCATTTGTTTATTGCTATTACCCGAGTACGTAGATCGCCGAGTAGCGACAGAAACCGTCGGCTCTTTTGATGTGGTGGGACCAAATTTTCTTTCTCTCTCTTTTGACGTGTTTGACAGATAGACTACGTATTTAACTGCTCAACTTATGAAGTGGTCCTATAAACATGGTATACACTGCTCACAATTTGAAGTGGAATTAATTATAAAGTTTTATACATATCTTTTTTGTTTTGTTTTATTCTTATTTCTAAATTTGAATGTATAAAATATCTTACTGCTAATAAATAATTAAAAAAACGATTCGTTGCCTGAGGTATACTTGAAATAAAGTATTCAGAGGCCGGCAATAGTGCGTCGGGCATCTGTAGCTCCTAAAAAACTTGAGAATTTTGTTTAAGTGCGAACCTAAAGTATGTGCCAGGATGTATTTCAAGAAAATATTTTAACTTCTATAGGGTGGCTCAAAAAAGTGTGAGTGGACCTTGATGATTTTTTTTAAATGGAATACCCTGTATTATTGCATTTTGGCTTCCTTTCAGATCACTTTACATAACCTAAGATATGAATAAATATATTTTGATAGTTTCAGAGATATTAAAAATAAAATAAAATGTATTGTTTCAGCCCTTCTTAAAAATTATTAAAAAATACAGAACTGTCCTGAAATAAAAACTATATTAGGTATTTACTTTAGATGGTCTGTACTTACTTTTGCTATAAATATGAAAATCGTAAATTATACAGAATGTCAAAATTCTGCGCCAAACTTTCTAAAATATAAAATATTTTTTTCTCGTTTTTTTAAATGGAACACCCTGTATATTATTTTTTTAGTAGACGGAGAATTAAAAAATGAACATTTTTTGTATTTAGAGTATTTCAAAATTTTTAACGGTTTCGCAGATATTTGCGGTTTATATTTCATATGGCATTTTCCACAGTAAATTTTTATCAAAGCCACCCAATGATTTTTCTCTCGTATTTTACCATTGAAAGCGCCATATGAAATAATACTGCGCGTATCTGCGAAACCGTTCAAAATTTTGAAATACTCTAAATACAAAAAATGTTCATTTTTTAACTCTCCATCTAATAAAAGAATAATATACAGGGTGTTCCATTTAAAATAACAAAGAAAAATTATTTTATATTTTAGAAAGTTTGGCGTAGAATAATGAACATCCTGTATGATATACGATTACCATATTTATAAGAAAGTAAGAATAGACTATCTAAAGTAAATACCTAATATAGTTTTGATTTCAGAACAGTTCTTGTATTTTTAATAATTTTTTTAAGAAGGGCTGAAAAATACATATTTTTTATTTATTTTTTAATATCTCTGAAACTATCGAAATATATTTATTCATATCTTAGGGTTATGTAAAGTGATCTGAAATGAAGCCAAAAATGCAATTATGTACAGGGTGTTCCATTTAAAAAAGATTATCCAGGTCCACTCACACTTTTTTGAGCCATCCTATAGAAGTTAAAATATTTTCCAGAAATACATCCTGGTACATACTTTAGGTTTGCACTTAAACAAAAAAGTCAAGTTTTGTATTCTAGGAGCTACAGATGCCTGACGCTCTATTGCCGGACCCTGTATAGAGATATTTGATAAATGGCAACAGTGGCAACTTCGCTTCTTCGTATGACAGATAACCTACTTATTTCGCGCAGCCGTAAAGAAAATTGAAAACGGGACTGTCGCTACTCGGTGGTTTAGGTACTCTGCTATTACTTCAAGTTTCTCTATGAAGGTATATTATGCCGAACCTTTGAATAAAAAGACTAAGGAAGGAGCATAATGCTATCCATGTATTCATGCATGGTGGGCGGAAAAAGCACCATAAAAGCACTCTAGGGTGGGGATCCTTGACAGTTCTGTTTGAGGATTCATTTGACAAATTTGAATTTGATTTGAAATTTTGTGGATTTGTCAGTCTTTACGGAGCTTATTTTATGTTATTTATTATTTATTCTACTACTGATAGTTGTCTAAAGGTAGTAAATCTAGATGGAAATTGTGGCAGAACTTAAATTAACAGTGACACTATCGCGATTTATAGAAAAAGACTCTAAAATAGTTGGTTGTGTAGCGTGCGGTAGATCTCGGCAAAAATTGAGTGAAATGAACAACTTTTCGCTAGTAAGTGACTATATAATATACATACGTGTAGTAAACCGATCATTTATGAAATTCACTTAAATTAACTAAATTTTATATTTTTCTTTAGCTTTTATTTATTACTTGTCAAAGATTAGATGTCAAAGAATTTAGATACGTTAATTTGACTTACCTGCTTCAGTAGCGTATCGGATGTTTGTGGTAATAAATACTTATTATAACTTATATATTTTTATTAGAATTATATATTTTATAACAATTTTAATAACTACCAACATTTATTCACAACGTAAAATAAAACAACGAATTATTGAGTCTACCCCACGTCTACCCTACATCATAGTTTTACATTTTTTAAATAAAATTAGAACGACACTGATAAACCGGAATTTAAGTCGGCCATATTTGAGGCCCATCGCGGTGTACCTAAGATTTTTGATATGCTCCTTCCTTAGTCTTCTTATTCAAAGTGCCGAACTAATCATATTCAGGGTGTTCCTAACAACATGTGCCATCTCTCGTGGGGAGATGTAACCTCACGTAAAAGTGACATTTATTTTTCATATCAACATAAGTCCGATTCTGCTCTGTTTCGTAGCTACAGGGTATTAAATTCTTAATAATCTTTCGATTTATTATAATTTTCTTCCAAGTGCTTTTAGCGATTCGAATGAAATTTTGAGAGTAAAAGCCGAGGGGTAAACCACTAGTGGAAATCATTGTACATTTTCCTGGGAATAACATGGCAATCAACTGGGAATACATGGAAATCCCTGAGAATCACCTGGGAATACCTGGGAATCACATGGTAATACCTGGGAATCACATGGGAATCCCTGGGAATCACCTAGGAATCAACTGGCAATCGCTAGGAATGATGTGGTAATCGTTGGGAATCACCTCATCCTAACCTAGAAATCGCATGTCATTATACAAAAGTTTTTCACTATGCGGCGTCCCCGTTCGCATGTGTACCTATTTATTGTGATAAGAAAGTGTTCAGGCCCGTAAAACTTTTGCTAAAGCAATAAGGTAAGTACTCTACTCTGTACTTTATTAATATTATTTAATAAACTTCGTTGCTTTTGAGGTTTCTAGCGAGATGGTAACAAGCTCAGTAATAAGGTTAAATTTTATTTGTCAATTTGTCAATTTTGATTTTTGGGTGCGTTCAGATTAAACAAAAATGTATTTTCAAAAGCAGCTAATTGATAAAAAATATGTAATTAAATTAGAATGGCTGTATTATTATCATAAAATCCAAAATTCTTCCCGTGGACCGATTTTAATGAAATTTGGTACAGTAATGTGAGTCCGATGAAAATACATTATTATGAAAAAAAATTGTGGATAGGGGTGGTTAAGGGGTATATAGGGGGTAAATTCATAACTTTGGAACCAAAACAGATACAAACATGCGGTTTTCAAATTTATGATTTTATCGAGGATTTTATGTTTTATGAACTCAATTTTATGAAAAAAAATTAGAAATACAGGGGCGGGTGATGGGTGTAAAGGGGGCAAATTTAGAATTTTGTAATGAAAACGGATACAAATATGCGGTGTTCAGATTTATGTTTTGATTTGATAACAAGAAATTTTTATAAATAAAAAAACGTAGTAGGGTGTAGGTAAAGGGGGAAAAAACCTCATAACTTTGGAATAAAAAATTCTTGAAAAAATGGTACGACCTTGCGGTTTCAGATTCATGATTTTATGTGGTAAAGGTACAATTTAATGAAAAAAAAAGAGGTGTGAGTGAGGTGTGTGAAGGGGGAAATTCACAATTTTGGTACTAAACCAAATATGAATAGGCGGTATTCAGATTGATGATTTGATCTGGCGAAAATACAATTTAACTAGCAATTTAATCAACGAAAACGGGTGTAGTTGGGTGAGGGGTGTAAAGGGGGTAAGTTCATAATTTTCTTATCAAAACAGATACAAACATGCAGTTTTAAGAAGTAAGGGGTGGAGCTCGTCGTGGAGAGGGTGACTTTGATTAAGACTAAAAAGTAAAAAATAAAATAAATAAAAAAACAAGTTAAACGATTTTATTAAAAATTGCTCTCATAAAGCAAAAAATAATTTGGCACATTTCTGTTTATTACAGTCTAGATTTAACGCACGATTTAACGTTAATGGCACATTAGGTATATATTTTTAAGTTCTATATAAAATCGTGGGGCGTATACATCTCCATTTGATGGGTATCTTTAATAATCGCGCCATGATGTTATATGGAACTTAAAAATATATATGTACCTAATGTGCCAATAACGTTAAATATAGACCGTAATAAACAGAAATGTGCCAAATTATTTTTTACTTTTTAGAGCGATTTTTAATAAAATCGTTTAACTTAAAAAAAATTATTTATTTTTAATTTTTAGAATGGATTATATCAATACACTACTAAAGGGCTTGGAATATGAAATACCACAATATCTGACAACTCTACTTTTACATAATGGATTTGATAACATATATTCCCTTTCCCAACTGAATATTGAAGAAGATGTTGAAAAAATTGAAATCTATGCAAGAGATGTATTGTCCAAAGTATTGAAAGGAGAAGAAAAAAAAGCAATGTTTGGGATATTTACGAAGAATGTTCACTTTTTAAAATACCCGAAGGTCATAAGAAACTCATTAAATTTATTAAGGAAGAATCCGAGAAAAAAATTACAAATTTTAAACGACCAAACTTAGATGAGCAGCATTCAGAACGCACAGCCCCAAAAAGGAATAGAACAAGTACTAGCAGAAGTAGTTTGTCGCCATCTGAAACTGATACAGAAAGTGATACAACTAACTGTGCTTTAATGAATAATCGGGTGAATAATAATAATTCACTTCATAATTCGGCACTGCAGCATGTTATAAATATTAGTAAGAATTATATCGAAAAATTTTCGAAGGAAGAGTTTAACAATGGCAGAATTGATCAAGAGAAACTAACCGATTTATTAGATAGATCCAAAAACATAAAAGTTGAGATGGATGGCATTTTAAATGCAAAAATATCATGTCCATTATGTACCTTTATCTCGTCCGCATACTCAGTAAAAAACTCAAAAACTGGCCGAAAATGGGTCGTTTCAAACTTTTTAAGACATTATCGAACACACTTTAAATGCAGTGAAAGCAAATCACTTGCCTCCAGAAAATCTCAGAAGGAGAAGGTGCCCTATAGTATAGTAAAATTCCTGAAAAAAAATACTGCTGATGAAACTGGGAGCTCAAATACTCCACCGAATTTTTATACAATTAATGCCAATTCTGTAGCTTCTACATCATGTGCTACATCATCAGCTATTCAGTATGAAAGACAATTCAATAATCATTGTGAGCTCCAACAATATATACCCTATGAAGCGGAAACATCCTATCACCATCCAACAAAGATTAATATAATATCCCACGTCATTAAACCTGCAAACAGCGATCAGCCAAGAATCATAAATCAGTCATTTGAATCCGATATGTTAAATACTAAACAAATTCAAGATGAACCTGAGCTCGAACCTGAACCATTATTAGACGAGTTCACAAATTCAAAGTCAACTCTGCTACAAATTGATGAGGTAGCCGAGGAGGTAACTGATAATTACCAAAATAGCAGTCGAGGTAGCAGTCCAATCGCAAATGAAATCGAAGTTTTTGACGCAATTAACGATTTAACCTCGGATTTAACAAACGATTCATCACAACCTGACGATTTTTTCTGCCATGGCAGTGTTGCCAGTAAGGATGTTTCAGAGAAAGTAAAGCCTCCCAACGAGCCTCCCAAAAATAAATTACGATTGTTTAGTGGTAGCAATTCCAGACGCGAAAGGTCTTTACGAAACTTAAATGAGCTTCCTTACAATCAAATACAAATAACAAACTTTATGACTGTTTTAGAAGAAGTAATAGATAAAAATCCTGAAGTTACAAATACCCTAAAAATTATCACAGAAAATAAAAGCTTAAATAAATTCAACTACGATACAAAGGGACTGTTAAAATATCTCTTGGAATCAGCAATTGAAAATTCAAAAAGCAAATCAAAGAATGCAAATAAATTTGACGAAGCAATTAAACGTTTCTGGCTTTACATTTTTATTACCGCCGGTAGGATGACCTACGAAATCTTGTACTCAAATTTAAAAAACATATTACCATCTATTACTACCATTCACCGACAACTGGAAGAAATTGACAATATTTTAGAGGGTGTTGTAAGAATCGAAGATCTTAAATTATATTTGGTGAAGCGAAAATACCCCCCTGTGATTTTTATTTCTGAAGACCAAACAGCACTTATTAAAAAAGTACAATATGATTCTTCAATAAACGAAATGATTGGTTTCGTAGCACCATTAAACAAAAATACGGGATTTCCTTGCCTTATAAAATTTCCAGTGGACTCGATTTGCGACATTGAAGAAGCTTTTAAAAATGAAAGTTTGGCCATAAACGCGTACATTTTTATGGCTCAGCCATTAGTAGATGGATCCCCTGCTTTCTGTATATCTGTCTTTGGCAGTGATAATCGATTCACATATGAAAATGTTTCTAAACGTTGGCAATATCTTGTAAAAGAGGCAGAAAAACATGACATAACAATTTTGGGGTTTTCGAGTGATGGCGATACACGATGTTTAAAGAGTATGAAAATTTTATCAAAATTACCACTAATCTCAGATAATCCATACTCACCATATTATCAGGTAAGTCAAATAAAACTCGAATAAAATTCTCGGTTCAATAGCCAAAATGAAATCTATTAATTCAATCACAAATAATTTTAGGCAGAATTTAATTTAGAAAATCCCACTGTATTTCAAGATACTATACACATATCAACTAAGCTGAAAACTCGACTACTAAACCAAAATATTTGTATGAACATGGGAGGAAAGCAGGTATCTGTAGAAAGTATTCGAAAAGTAATTGAAAACTACTCAAGGGATAAACATTTACTCTGTAAGAGCTTTCTCGATTGTAAGTATGATGATTTTCAACATTTGGACAAAATATAATTTTTGTTAAGACACGTAATTAACTATGTAATTAAACGTAATTAAATTTATTATACGACGCGACGTTCCGTCTCGGATCCGTTATGATCAACTTTGTTTTTTTTAAATATGGAGGGATTTTAAAAATTCCTGATGTCCTAAAATCCATGAATATCTATCTATGTCCTAAATCCATGAATCTATGATATATGAGTATCGCACTTATTCAAAAAAAATATATTAAAGACACTTATGAAAGGTCAATGGGTTAGAGAGAGAGAGAGACAGAAAACAGATTTATTGTGGAAATTTTGTTCGAATATAGGTGTGATACCGAGTGCGATACGTTATGGGTTTTGAGACATCAGGAGCTCTTAAAATCAAATGTAATAAGTCCAAGTCCGACCTTGTATCTCTTATCTCTAATAGTGAGCCTCGAATTTGTATCACCTTGTACAAAATATATGTATTTTTTAGCTTCCGATAAAATGAATTTTAATGCAATCGACAAAATAAGTTCTGAACGAGTTACAAATCTACTCGTGGAAATTCCTGACGCTGAAGCTACTAGGCAATATTTAATTTTAACACGGTATATCTTGGATGCATTTTTGTTAAAAGATATCAGTATAGAACGGAGGATATATCTCATTTGGTATGCTACTTTTTTTATGCGCATTTGGAGATCCTGGCTCAAAAAGAATAACCAAAGTATTCAGAAGAAATTTATTACTTCAAATACATACACATGCATAGAGCTAAATGCTCATGAAATTATCCTTGCCATTGAGCAACTTCGTCAAAAACAAATTCCAGAAGCTTTTCTTCCATGGTTGTTTAGCAGTCAGTCATGCGAAAAAATATTTAGAGAAACACGATCTATGAGCAGTACCTTCTCCACCGTAATAAATTATACACTACTTGAACTATTAAGACGCTTAAAACGCATACAAGCTATGCATGAAATCAGCACTGATTTAGGTGAGTAAAATGGCCTGAGATCTATTTGCGTTACATTATCGGTTACATTCTAAATTAGTTTTTTATATCTTTAGGTGCCGAGTTTATATTTCCCCGACAAGAAAACAATAGATTGGGCGATGATTCCCCTTCTTATCAAATTAATCATCTTCCATCAGTGGAACTTATTAAGCATACAATCGAAAAAGCCAAAGAAGATGCAATATCAAGTGCTAGACAGTTTGGTATGGAAATGAATACGGAATGTTGGTTAAATGTTGACTTACTAACTGAACAAATTCCATGTAGTACAGAACTTGAAGAGGAAGAAGAATTAGATGACAGTGTTATAGATCATAAGAATCGAAAGATCGAGGAAAAGATCACTCTCGAAACCCCACTCGAGTCCGGCTTGCCTAAAGAAGACTCAGATTTTCTTCAGTACACATCAAAGTTTGACAATTACGATTCGCTACAATTAAAGGATTTTTCAGGGCAAAAAAAAATACACAAGTCATGTCTAGCGGTGACGCTTAATGATGGAAAAACCAGAATACTAAAAAAATCAACTTTAATTTGGTTCTTCTCCGAGAAGCAGGGGCGTTTATCGACTGATCGATTATTAAGAGTTAAGGGGATGTCCCTTAAAAACATTCAAAAGAAAAAGTCGGGAATCCAGCTTAATAAGACCTTAAAAAATAAATCTAAACGAAGTGGAAGAAATAGTAAGCTAAGCGAGAAGCAGAGGCGAAAGGAAGAAGATAGCACGTCTGAATCAGAATCAGACATTAGTTTGGCTAGTGAGATCCTAAGCGAAGATTTCTCTGATTTAGAAGAACGTTCTGGTAAAACCATGTCCAATATCGAGTCCATTAGCTTAGATTCATATTATGCTGTGTACTATGACATACAATGGTATCTAGGGCTAGTAATTAACTGTAAATCAGAAAAGTTTAAAATGAAGTTTTTACAACAGGACAAGGATATTTTTAAATGGCCCAAAAAAGACGATATACAAGAAGTTCATCGACGTTTCATTTTTCATGGACCTATCACATTATGTGGCTGTGATCCGTTTACCATAAAGAGAAACGATTTGGTTGTCATTAACAAAAAATACAAAGATTTTAAATGTTAATAAATTATCTATTTAGATATTATTTATCAGCATCTTTTTTTTAATAGGTAATGATGTTTTAGTTTTTTTTAGCCAATGTATTTATTTTTGCCATGTTCCTATTGCAGTACCTGACTCAATATTTTTAGTACAATGTTCTTTTTCATTCTGTTTAACTTACGAGCCAAATGTACCTACATATATTATGTATGTTTTGAATTTACTAAGTTAGTGTATCTTGCATGTTATTCATAATGATTTTCTTAGTTTCCAGTTCATTATATTTGTTTTAATTTTTAGCATTAAATGTAGGTATATATTTTAATTATTATAACTTGAAATATCTCACAATAAAACGAAATAAACATACATTGTTTTCCGTAATTAAATTGACTGGTAATCAGGTGATTGCTTAGGAAATCAGGAGAAATCAGGTAATCAATCGGGAATCACATGGGAATCGTTAACAAAACTGGGAATAACTTGGGAATCATATAAAAATACTTGGCAATTAGTGGAAATCAGTGGCAATACTTGGGAATACATGGGAATAACTGATGAGTGATTGCCAAATATGGAAATCATTGTACATTTTTTAACATGGTGGTTGACCCCTCGGTAAAAGCTATTATAACTGCGACATATTTTAATGATAAAAACGTGTCGACATATTCACCAGGGACGTGCGTATCGGTTATCACTGGAATATTTTCCTAAAAAAACATATGTGGGCCATTGACTTTTGTTTCTCTTGTTACCAAAATTATGTAAAACATTTAATGCCGATTATTTCTCTCATCGTGAAATGGACCAATCAGCTAATCTAATTTTTCGAATAAATTTTGTTTAGATAAAGGATTAAATCCCAAGACCAGTTTAACCGCGATAATTTTTTCGGCTTCCTTTTGGTTTTTTTTTGTCGTTTATCACTAATTCTGAGAGATTTTGGCAACAGTTCATTTAAAAACATTGATTTACAACTCATATGTAATGACTTAATAACGATTTTAATCGGTAAAAACCCCTTATTCGATATTATTTTGAACAAATAAGTGGAGAAAAATACGTCAGAATTTGATATGTGGACATGCGAAACGGTCCTCGATGCATTTTTGGGATGCGTAACCAAGATAGCAGAAGCACAAACATTACTTACTAGACGTCATTTTGAAATAAATATATATATATATAATTTTTATAGTTAATAAAATTCTTATAGGCATAAAACATGTGGCACAATACCCCTGCCTACACGCGGATAAATCGGCAACACTGTGTGTCGCTTTTTATTTTGTCTCTCTGTCTGTCAACCGGTCATTTATATTAATCGCACGCATTAAAATAAAGACGACGGAGATAAAGTGTCCAGGACTGTATACATAATTAACAGAGAATGCTCAATATATTGAGCACAATATTAATTTTATTTTCAACTGCATGTTCCTTTTCGCAAAAACTCATTTTTGTAATTAATGAACACTAATTAAATGACGAATTAAGACAAACGATTTTAATGATAAAATTTACAGCAAAAAAAAACACTACACCACTGACAGAAGAATACAGTTACATAACGTTGATTAAGGCCCTATCACGCCCGAGCCTATTTTCTTAGGGGAAGCGAGTAAAAGGGGGTACAGAAAGCCTAGAAATCGAAACTATTCGCAGACACGTACATGTACTTGGTCCTTGTAATAATAAGTACGTAAAGGGACAAGCGTTTTCCTTAAGGGTTCTCCCTTTTTCTCCATCCCTGTCTTTAGGGAGGTTGATTAAGCGGACATGATTGATCGAATTGAAGATGGGACTGTCATTCGAGGCAGGTTGGGTTTGTTCAGAATAAAATTAGTTAAAAGTTGTTGAGTAAGAATTGCGTAAAAATAGAATTTAATGTAAAAATAGCTCACCTTTATTTTTTTGCAATATAAATCTTTCGGGTAAAATTTAATAAGAAACTTATATGCACGTAGTTCTAATTGTAAAAAAATATGTATGTTTAACTATATTATTCTGTTTTTATATTATTTTATATTATTCTGTTATATTATTTGTTATTTTTGTTAAAATGGTGCATCGAAAAAAAGTACATAACTATGGAAATGAAAAGGTACACATAACATATTTTTCCAATTTAGGGTTGATTCTCACTATACCTTCCGTATCAACTACATTCCGTTTCCCTTCCGTTTACATAAAATATTATATCATGTAAATGAATAGGACAAGACACACTATCCGTTCTGTTTCCCTTCCGTTCCATATCCTATCCATCCATACATTTTTTGGCCGACAGGCTAAAGCTTGATTTTCATGCATCCGTTGTCCGACGATACGCTGATACGATATTAATTTTATTGGCGGAATTTAAAGACTTTGATTGGTTAGAAAATAACGCAGTTTTTAAATTTATTGCATTTTTGTGCCTCCGTTTATCGGATATACGTTTCCATAACAATTTTGCTATTTTACTTATATTTTTATTATTGTTAGATTAAATTTGTCAAAAAAGTGTCAAAACGTCCGTTATCGTATGAACGGGTCCGTTGACGGGCGGAAGTAAAATATTTACGGATGAAAATGGCGCGAAAACGCTATGACCAATCAGAGCACCGTCGGACCAACGTGTCAACGTATAACGGATGCATGAAAATCAAGCTTAAAGCGTATCGGAAATAGCGTTGTCACGTTCTTACATTTGTACCAGCTCTGTTAACATTTTGTTGATATTTATTTATTCTTTCAACTTTTAATTACATCTATTACCTTTTTCAAAAGATACAAATTTTTAAAATAAAGCTTTCGTAATGATATAAATTGTACAATAAAAAGTATGGAACTGATACGGAACGGAAGATTATGTATAGCGTCAATACAATAAAAATACGAAACGGATATGGAAACGGAAACGGATAAGGAATGGAAACGGAAGGTATAGTGAGAATCAACCTTTATCCGCTACTTATCAGCCTTCGTCTGTTTGGGCTCTCTATTCAATGATACGTGCTATGATATCTATTAAAATGAATATATTATATGCTTTATCAGGCATTTACTTGAAAGATGTTGTTGTTCAAACTGTATCATTAACATTTATAATAAATAAGTTTTCATGTTTTTATAATTATTATCAATAGAACAGTTTATTTGTATTTCTTAGGTATTTAGTGCAAAATAAATGTTTTTCAAAATATTTTTTCTCTTTGATAGTCATCTAAACGAGGAGTGCGGTAATGAAAATGAGTGAGTTAAGCAGCTCTAAACTCACTCAAAATACGTGAGTTAAGAGCTTCTTAACACACTGACGTAGATAAAATAAATTAAAAACCTGCTGATTTTTAAATTACATTTTTTTACTAAATATGTAAACCTAAATTTAAATTTATCAGTTCAAAATGGTTTTTAACTTTGCAGAAATAACACACAGCATCCCCAATTACCTTACTTTAAGTTAAGTTATTCATAAAATATTCGGAAAAACATACATTAACGCTATGGATTTTTTAAAACGTCCAATTTAGTTATCAACATCAATATGCACTTTTTTTGCAAGCAACAGAAAATTATATGAATCATTTCTCAAATCCCATTTCCTTACACTGTCATCGGTAGTTAAGCGTCTTGCCGCGAGAGGTTCTCCCCATTTGCCATATGCCAAATTGGCCAACGAGGGTGGAACGTAAAGTTGGGCGCCTGAAGGCTTAAGATAAAAATGGTGCATTAAATATGTTTATTTTTCTTTATACGGGGTGATTCATGCTCGTAGAAAGGTACGTTGTTATATATTGGGAAAATTATAACAGGAAGATCCCTGATTTAAGTTAGAGCAATCTTCGGATTATCACAGGGGATTCTAACAAGACTTTTTCAATGAACACTTCAGTAGATTGAAGCTATAAAATAAAGGCAAATGGAGATTATGTGAGGAAAAAGGGGAAACACCAGAACACCTCATCACTGAGTGCACCGAGATGACAACCATTCGTGCTATAAACTTTGGTACGACTGATATCGGAGATGGAGAACCAACCTCTGTAAAACCGTTTTTATAAAACCGTTCCGAATATGTCCCTGGTTGGCAACAATGAATTTTAAAATTGCGCTCTTGATTACGTATCTAAAAGTTTAATTGGTATTGAATATATGTAAAGGTGTGTTTTACGTTACAATGTTAAATAAAAAATGTTACAAGTATTTCTAAATACTTTCTATAAAAAAATATATTTCTTCGTAACACTAAGAAATCATTTTAAAATACTTTACGTACAACATCATCTTGATAAGATTCATAGGAGAGCCTTTAACTTGATAAAAAACGTATTTGCTCATCCGAGGAACAGCTCACCCTCTCGTTCGAGGCACAATATGTTTTGTGCGAGTGGAAAAAATATCTCGGGTGCCATTAATAATCGTGTCATTATTATGCCTCTTCCTATCGACAGGAGTGATTGACTTCGTCGTCTTGGAAACGTCATCCATCACTCATAGAAGGCATAGAAATTTAATCGTACCTGACAAAAAAACGACCTTGAAAGAAATACTTGTTTAAGCTTGTTTATTAATCTGGAAAAGTTTAGCATTTTATTATAAATTAATTTTTAGGAGTGAATATGCGTCTCAAAAGTTACTTATTTATTTAAATAAGTTTAAAAATTATTAAGACTAACACTTATATTTCCAAGTATAATTTTTGTCACGAATCAATGTTCTTTAAGCGTTTTTAGGGTTCCGTACTCAAAGGGTAAAAACGGAAACTCTATTACTAAGACTTCCCTGTCCGTCCGACCGTCTCAAAGGTCTATCTTATGAACCGTTATAACTAGACAGTTGAAATTTTTACAGATAGTGTATCTATGTTGCCGCTATAAGAACAAATACTAAAAACAGAATTAAATAAATGTTTATAAATAAAAAAGTACTTTTACTAAACATTATCTTTTAAGTAAGAATTTTAGATAGAATCTTTCCAGTCCTCGGTGGCCGCGTGGTTAAAGCGATAGGACTTTAGGCTATGACGTTGGAGCCGTAGTAAGACAGGTTCGAATCCCAGTCAAGGCGACTTTTTTTTAATCGTTTTTTTTTAATTTTTACATATTTATTTTACTTTTTACATATTTATTATTGATTATGTTAGAGATATATAACAATCGATCTCTATAACAGTAGATTGTTTGTTTAT